AGAACATAAAAAAACGTCTCATCTCACAATGTTAAAGAAAGAGATAAAAACTGTGGATCCACACCAAACGTTTACGAGTTCTTTCTAGAGTCTTCTTGACATTTTGAAGGTTTTGCCTGAAGGGGGCAGTAGAGAGAAGGTCACAAAATGCAGAAACTGAGAAGGGTTCATCTTCCTGGGAGCATGACTCTGTACTAACCTGAAGGTACGTGTATGAAAATAAAAGCACTTCCGTAAAATGATTTAAAAAACCGGAGGAACATCAACAGATTAAAAGTCTCTTCTCTCGTCTTCAGGAACGTTGTTTTGAAGAAACTCGTGTCTCTCACCTGCTGTGCTGAACCTGCTGCTGTCGTCGTTGGTGCTGGTGCTGGTGGTCGTCGGGGAGGAGTTCCCACAACCCATCTCTCCTCCGACTCTGAAAAAACCTCAGAGGTGAAGAAAAGAAAGAAACAAAAGAGACAGAAAGAGGACGAGGAGACAGGAGAGGGTTTTTCCTTCCTTCACTCAGTTTCTGTCTCCTGGAGCTCTCAGCGTGGAGGGAGGATTAAAAAGACGTCAAGAGAGGGGGGGGGGAGGAGGAGGAGAGAGAAGGGGGGAGAGATGTTGGAAACTGGAGGAGAGAGAGAAGCAGGGAGTTCACTCCTGCTGCTGAGGGAGTCTCTCCTCTGTGGTTTTCTCAGAGTCTCGTGGTTTCAAATCTCAGTTTGAAGGACGAACATCAAAGTCGGAGAGAATCGATTTGATTGGTGCATTTTTGCATCATTGAAATCAAAGAGATCAGAAACAAGAACAAACGTTATCGTGGGTGTACTGCAGCCAGCCACCAGGGGGCGATAGAGGTGTTTCCGCTTCACTGACACTGTCAATTACAGAAAACACAACGAACGAGCGATGGTGAAAAGTCAGAGCAGGGATTTATTTTCTCGGAAACAACGAGGTGGAGCTGTCACTGACAGGAAGTGAGAGAACGTGGGAGTCGTCGTTTACAAAAGTCTCCGTTTCCGTTCGTCCAGATTAAAACACAAAGTTCTCAAACTCAAACGAGACACAGGACGTTTTTTGTCCTAAATACGAACACACTTTCCTAAAATGGGCTGAAATGAGTTCTTCAAAATAAAATGTTGTCAGAGTGATGAGCTTCATGCACCAAACATCAGACTCAAGAAGGTCTGAGGTTTTCTCCGTGACCTGCAGTCGCTCCACGTTCAACACCAAGGATCTTTATTTCATCTCTAAACATTGTTGTATGTTGAGCGGCGATGATGTGAAGACGATGAAGGAATCTCCGCTGACGCCGTCTCGCTTGAATAAAAAGTTTATTACAAGAAGTTCAGCATCAACACAAACACTGCAGTCTGCCTGGAGAGAGATCCAGAGCCGCTCACGAGAGTTGTCGTCGTAATCTTGAAAAAACACATCTGGTTCACCCGATCTCCCATTTCCTCTGAATTCGAAACAGATACTTGGCGTCAGCTCAGATTAGATCTTGACCTATAGACCTGATTCTCACACTTAGGAACCTAAAGGCACATGGACCTCCAGGTTATCACGGCCTGTGGACCTCGACACATAATCAACTCCCGTCAGAGATAAAATCAACACATGGACTTTCAGACGCCACAACATCGAACACAATTTAATATCAAACAGTAGAAAAGTATAAAAACCTGAAGGCCGCTGAGTTTCTGAGCCGAGGACGCACGCTGACCTCTGACCCCCCGTTATAAACAGGAATGACAGCTGCTGTCTGAAATATATATTCTGTGTATAAATACTGCACGTACTGTGTACAGTCGTCTCAGTTCACATCTGTGAGTCTGCTTCAAAAAGAAGCTTCAGACTTATTCAAACTACTTTTACTCTCATTTTTCAATGTGTACAAGTACTTTGTTTTGTCGGATAATTATATTTAAAGTTATGTTTCTATAAGTTGACAGTTTATTCGTGATCAAGCTAATTCCTTGATATTCAGGAAACATTTGTTTTTCATCATTTACTCGAGTAACGTTTGTTTTAAATGTTCATAACTGTGTATTTTCCTGATGTGCTGCAAAGCTTCTGCCACCAGATGGAGCCTTTGAGTTACTTTTAATCTTACTTCTCATATTTTCAAATAAATTATTTTTATTCATGTTCATATCAGTTAAATATTCATTATCATTATTATATCTTTTTGGTTATATGATTTATTAAATGGACATAATTGTGTTTCCTTGTGAATTTAAAGTGAATTTAGTTTCAGTGTGATTTTATCAATATAAAAAAAGCACGTTAGAATCAATGTGAGCAACAGAATCTGTCGTTGTGCTTTAAAGTGAGAAACTTTTTAAACTCAGAGAAACACAAGTTGTAAAGTTTGGATGAATCTGCATCTCAGCATCCGTCAGACGTAAAAACCACCGGAGGAGTGACTGTGATGAAACAAGCAGGAGACTCTTGTGTGAACTCGTCTGATGACTCAGACACCAGGAGCTCGGCCGTCGTAAAAATCAAACGCACCTCAGAGGAGTTCAGACGCGTGTCGGTCACCAGGATCCTTTCTGACGACTTCACGTCCTCATCTCTGGGTTTAAACCTTTTCTGGCCAATGTTCTCTTTCAAATGTACACGTGTGCTTTTTCCCCAATTTGTTCCTCAGCGTCCAGCGGCGACCGCTTCGTGAGGACGCGGGGAACGCGACCTTCGCCACTTCCTGTCGTGACCTTTGCTTTTTGATCCAGCCTCGCTCACCCTGGTGACAAAGCTGAGGGGGTGAGAGGAAAACCTGACCAACGTGTTCTTGTTGTTCGATTCTCTTCAGTCAGTCACGGATCTGAGCGCCGCCACAAACACGAGCCCCGCACTCAGCCCCGTCCATGTGGGCCTGGTGATGGCGCCGCTTCCCTCCAGGTTTAACGTGTAGTTGCAGGTGGGGGTGGGGGTGACTGTGGTGAGGTTAGCCTGGGTGGAATTAGCCTGGGCGCGTTGTAGCAGGAAGTCGTGTTTCATGGCGGAGTAGAGGTCGGGACCGTACGGGACGTTAAGAGTCTCCGTCAGAACCTTGTGACCCGGGTACGTCACCTGTCAATCAAAGAGACCAGAGTGTCACATGAGTGTGTAACTGTAATGAGCAGAGTTCTACCACTAGAGGTCACTGTGTGTGTGTGTGTGTGTGTGTGTGTTTTACTGTGAAGCTGTAGTTTCCAGGCAGCAGCAGCCTGAAGTATTCTCCGTGTCGGTTGGTTCTGAACGGACACTTGTTCTTACGACCTTTGACCTCCACAAGTGCATTCTGGACCGGCACCCCGGAGCCGTCGAACACGCGACCTTTGACCCCTGAACACAAACAGATGACAGGTGTGCAGTCAGACAGAGACAGACAGACAGAGACAGACAGAGACAGACAGAGACAGACAGACAGGTGTGGAGACAGACAGGTACTGACCCAGGTGGACCTGCTGGATGAAGGCCAGCAGCGACTTCCTGTTCTCCGCCCACAGAGCAGGAAGTTCTCCGACTGGAGGAAACTTACAGCAGGAAACTTCCAGAGTCAACTCCAGACACTGAGCCCACACATAGTTGTAGTCCTGCATCCCACCTGACAACACACACAGTCACAACGTCAACACCAGACAGAGAAACACAACTTTAACCACACGTTGCTGTTCTCTTAGTTTCTCCTGGATTTCATCTGCAGGTCACTTTGTTTTGAAGAACCTCTGAGGACAATTCAGCTCCTGGTAAAAACCTCCTGAACATCTGGATCTCAAGTGTTAAGAGTAACAAACGTGAGCAGCAGCTGGGCTCGCGGCCCCTCCAGGACCATATTTATCATTCAGCTGCTTTATTCTGTCGTTTTTACGGATTGAATCCGTCGCTCCGGCTCCTCAACGGAAGACAACGTCATCAAATTCCATCTTTTGTTTCTGTTTTGATCGAAAAACCCTCGGGGGCAGAGAATGACCTTTCAGAGGATACCACTGGTATCCGTTGGTGATGCCGTCCACGAATGATGCTCCGTCGCAGCTGTCCCCCCGGTGCATGGAGCCGTGGTTGTGGGAGTACACCTTGGCCAGGTAGACAAACACGTCGTCGTCAGGGGCGATGCTGGCCCCGCCCACCTGCTCGCTGCCTGAAAAACACAGACGTTTATCAAACGTGACGTCGCCCAGTGGTTTGTGAGCTGCTGCTCTGAAGCCTCAGTTTGACTTTTCCTTCAGCGCCATCTTGGTTTAAAGAAAAAGCCAAAAACTCATCTTAGAAAAATGTTGTGTGAGTGTGTGTGTGTGAATGTGTGTGTGTGTGTGTGTGTGTGTGTGTGTGTATGAGTGTGTGTGTGTGTGTGTGTTTACCCCCGTCACTGCTGTCGTAGGGGTAACTGGCCACCAGAGCTCCTCCATGAAGATTTGCAGAGAGAACGAAAGTCTCAGTCTCCAACCAGCCAATCACAGCCCGGACCTGTGACGCATCACAGCCACGGAACATTTTACTCCAGACGTGACGTTCAATTAAAAACAACCTCAGCTGACATGAGCTGATCCCAACACGTGTCACTGAATCTTTTATAATCTTATTTCATGGAATGTTTGGGCAAAGTACAAATAACAATTAATACAGAGATGAATCCAGGTTAGTCACAACATGTAGTTTTCCTCTTTGATCGGATTTGTCTGACGCTTCTGTTTTAACAAGTTCATTCTAATAATATAGAATTAGTTTTTCTGACTCATCACCGACCTCGGCCTCGCTCTTCTCGTCATCAGGCTGCTGTTGCCGTTGGAGACCAGCAAAGGCGTCGGGGAAGTTCCTGTTCAGATCGACGCCGTTATGGTTGAACCTGAAACAGACGAGACACGTGAACGTTTACTGTTCACACACACAGGGACTCTTCATCGCCTCCTGCTGGGGGAGTTTTACACTTTATATCCCGAAGTAAATCTGTAGCGGAGCCGAGAATTCAAATCGGTTTTATTTCAATATTAATAAATCACAATATACTGACACACACACACACACACACACACACACACACACACAAATATTTACAGCATGTGAGTCAGGGACCTGTTTTTTTTTTTTCATGGGAAGTGAGCAAATACAAATACACAGAGTTTACAGTACATTAGAAAAAGTCAAAACACTTTTAATGAGACACTTAAGATGTTTTTACTTAAGACTTCAATCTGTGTGAGATACTGATCTACAGTGTGTGTGTGTGTGTGTGTGTGTGTTTCCTGCTCATCAATGCGTTGTGGGCGTTGGAGCGTCGGATGTCATTTTAAAGTATTTAAAGTCTTATGTTGACATGTGGACACACACACACACAGACTGACATGATGTATTGTGTTAAAACCTTGAAGCAGCTCTCTGGAAGTTTCTCAGGAAACAAACCTGACGCTGCAACTGTCCCACAGATAGAAGTACAAGTATATACATATATACAAGTACACATATGACACATGAATTTTCCAAGTTCCCATCTGTTGGTTTATGAAGTAAAAATAATTTTCCATCATCTTCATTTTAAACATCTGTCTCCTGTCCTCCTTTAAAAACTCGACGACTCGTGCGACACTTGGAGCCGGAAACATTTAAACGGGAGGCAGAGTGATGTCATCGCTCGGAATTAAACACAAACAAACAACCAACGTAAACACACAGGACGACTTCGACTGCAGGTTGATAAGAGTTCAGTAAAACCACGGTGACGTCATGAGGAAGCTCAAAGTCTCTGAGGTTCTCAGACATTCTTCACATTTCAGGAACAGCTTTTACCTGCTGTTCCACTGGACTCTGTGTGTGTGTGTGTGTGTGTGTGTGTGTGTGTGTGTGTGTGTGTGTGTGTGTGTGTGTGTACCTGCCCTGGTTGTACTGGCA